AAAAAAAAAAAAAAAAGAACTAGCAAGGGCATCGGATCGATTGGTACTGGAAATGACCGGATAAGTCTGGTCAGTTCTGTGGTCTTCCACATCACAACGTGAACTTCTAGTAAGCACCAATCAATCAATCACATGCACCCCCCCACCCCAAATCAATCAATGAATCAATCAATCCAGCAATCAAGCAATCAATAAAGCAATGACGCAATCAAGCAATCAAGCAATCAATGCAGTAAGAAATGCGAAGTGAAAAGGACATGCCATGACTAGTAGTAATTGAAATGATTTTAAAAATTATTGTAAAACGAATTTAATATCGAGCAGCCTGTGACTAATAAGGTGAGAAATTGATGAACTGATTTCGAATCCAGCGACGATTAACAGATTGCGGTGACCACCATATCTCTCGCGTACTGAGTGAAAAGAATGACGAAAAGGACAAAAAAAAAAAAAAGGAAAAAAAAAGGAAACCAAAAGAAAAAAAGAAAAGGAAAAAAAAGGGGGTAAAAAAGGGGAAAAAGGGGAAGGAAAGGGCAAAAAAAAGAGGCAAAAAAGGGTGAAAAACTTCAAAAACGGCAAAAAAGGGAAAAACATGGGAAAAAGGGGTAAAAAAGGGGAGAAAAAAAGGGGGAAAAAAGGAGAAAAAAAGGGGAAAAAAAGGAAACAAAATGAAAACTTGAAATACAAAAAATCTCATTTCTAACAAGGAATCACTGGTCCAGAGTTACAGATCTTTTTTTTTAAATAAAAATTCTCTCTAGACTAAAAAATTCGCTCTAAATTCGCTCTAAATTGAAAAAAAAAAAAAAAAAAATCATTTCTAATGAGGACGCAGTGGTCCAGAGTTGCAGACCGAACGCGATTTTGTTGCTGGTTCTTTTCGTTTTTTTTGGGATCCCAAATTTAATTAATTTCACAACTACACACGTAATTATTTCCTTGTATTTCAAATTCCCCCAATTAATATAGGAAAAAGAGAGATTTTCTCGTTGTATTTCAAAGTCCCCCAAAATTAATTTCGTTGTATTTCAAAATTCAAATTCCTCCAGGTTCATCAACTACGGCCAAATTGAATGCATGTGCTTTTCTTTCTACCCCAGGCCTGAGTTCAAAGTCAAGTTGAAACAATGAGTCTCACTCCACTATTAAACCACTGAACATGCATATGGATGCTTTCTCGACCATGTGCATTCAACATGTTCGACTTGTCCAAATGCACCTGGTCGGCGGACGCCTCCAAATGCCTGTAGAGTGTTCCGTAGTGGGAGCGAGGCCCAATAGTCAGGAATATGCTAACCAATTTTTGCGAGTCAATTTGTGATGGAAATTGGTTTTTTTATCAAAGCAACAAGCACATGGAGAAGAAAAAAAAGAATTAAAAAAAAAAAAAAATCGAATAATTGAAAATAGCCTAAGGGAGGGCAATCGTCATACATCCTCCTTCACACAGGCCGTGGTCCCACTAGCAAAGGGGATAGGATAGAAATCCTGAATCTGGCTATGTTTTATGCAGAGATACAGAAAAGCAGTTCCATCTCGATTTCCTGCTCCTGTCCTCAAACACGTCCAGATTCAGGCATTCAATCCGATGCTCTTTGCTAATGGGACCACGGCCACAGGCATATGTTTCTGGTTTCTAACGCGCACATTAAATTTTCCGGACGCATTTTTTTTTCAAAAAAAAAAACGAAAAAAGAAAAAGAAAAGCGGGAAAAAGAAAAAGTGAAGCATGGATGTATGTATGCCTATTGGCCTCACTATTTCAATTCATCTACATTTTCAAATCAATTAATTTTTATTTAAAAAATAAAGTAAATAAATAAAAATAGGTGTCCAACTCCTCCCCTCCCCTCCCCTTCCCTTCCCCCCCCCCAAAACCTTTTTTTTTCTTTCCCCCAACAGAACATCATCGGATGACTGGGGTTTGATGTCCCACTGCTAGCAGGGCCTTAGTTCGTGTTCCGGGCATTTTTCAACATGGTCCCACTGTGGCGCGACATGGTCCCACGGTCCCACTGAGCATGGTCCCACTGAGATTTTCAGATGGGATGGCAGGGAGGCTTGTATATTCGAAACGAGAACTGGTAGACCTCGACAAGTGGGACATGGCCCCATCAATCCGATATCATGGGTTGAAAACAAAAAAAAAGAATAAGAAGAAAAGGAGGAGGAGGCGGAGGAGGAGGAAGAAGCAAGAGTGGAAGACGAAGAAGAGACTGAATATCCACAGCCTACCGTCTTCACTCGAATAGAACGCCCCGTCATTATAGCTGCATATGACCGGGGGGCGTGGTCCCACTAGCAAAGAGGATCGGATCGAATGGCATTGCCTGAATCTGGACGAGGTTATGGAGATGTGCAGGAAATCGAGACGTAAAACACGTCGGACTCCAGATTCAGGAGCTCGATCCTATCCTTTTCGCTAGTGGGACCTCGGCCCGGGCGTTCCATGCGAGTGAAGACGATAGGAATACGGACGGAGATAACTCGGCATCATTAATCCTCACGTCATAACAACAACAACAATAAGAAGAACAAGAATTAAGAATCTGGACGTTAAAAAAAAAAATTGCTGATTGAAGGGAAAGCAGCCCGCGGGGGAGGGAAAGAGTGGAGGAGGGGGAAGAAAAAACGAAAAAAAAAAAGGGAGGGAGGAGGGAGAGAAGATGGAGAATCGATCAAAGAGGGAAGGACAGATCTCTCTGGAATTTGTGACAACAGCAGCAGGAGAGGCCAGGACACTAGTAAGTAAAGTTAGTAAACGTACTTCCTATGATAATATGATTCGAAAAAAAAAAAAAAAAAAAAAAAAAAAGAAGATGGCATACCTAGCATGCCGAGAACATTTCGCACCAAGGAGCTGACTTCCCAAGGAGCCATACTCGCTGAATCCTCCTCTCTCTCTCTCTCTCTCTCTCTCTCTCTCTCTCTCTCTCTCTCTCTCTCTCTCTCTCTCTGTGTGTGTGTGTGTGT